TGTTCGATGAAATTGAAATGTTTCCCCAAAATGCGAAGTTTAACTTGACCAAAAAGCAATGATGAACATCCAGAGCTCTTCGTTGTTCCATAACCTACAGGATTCCAGAAAAGATTGTTAACCGTATTGGAGCTTTGACTCAATTTTTGCGCAATATGACTGCTTGACGATTCCTGGTCCTTTTTTGCTACAGTTTACCCTTTTTCAAAACCAACTGTCTTTTTTATCTTGTGGGAACATTAAGGTGAAAGCCTGATAACTGCGAATCAGTTTCATGAAGCAAAAATGAATTAACTTCGACATGGATTTTTGTGTTGATATCTGAACTCGCCATGAAATTTGTCACATTTTCTATCTGGACAGTTTTTCAGAAACTCTATGAACTTTGAGTTTTCGAACAAATTTTAGGTGGCTGTATCATTATTGAACGCAGTGTATGTCTTTGTTGCTAGTGGTGCATATGCGACTGCCTCATTTCGTGTTGGCATAGAACCAACAATTATTGCCGGCTTAGCACCCTAGTTCAAAAAGCTCGTTCGGTCACATCCCCTCCTTATCTAGAGGGGAAGTCATCGGCGTTGTTTCTTTTTTAATTTTCCACTCGGCATCCACAATTTCATTACCAACCGCTCTAACCCCACCAATTTTATCTGGGTTATTGCTTTAGTGACTCAATGGACGCAGCTTCACGAGTACTCAAGAACGTTTTTGAATGAAACACTTTCTGTTCATGTCTGAAAATGAGTAAAACACTTTACCTAAATGATTGTGAAAACGGGCCTTCGTCAAAAAGTGCTGCCAAGTCAAGTGGAATGAGAACACCTCTTGATTTTCATTTTTTGATTTGAGTCTTTCTCTTTCCCGAAGCGCTTTTTTTCTCTCTACTCAACACAAAAGAAGAAGCAAAGATCAGAAAAAATACGCCAGAGACTTCAAAATATCACAAATAAAAAAGCGTCCTACCACCACTTGACTTGGCAGCACTTCCTGAGAAAAACTGCTCGTTTTTCCTCTTCGGGAAGTAGAAGTTTTTTACTCGAGCATTAACTATTGAAGGAGTTTTGGTTACCGTACCCGACTCAATAAAATTGTATTATATTTCCTTGTGATGCGGCGCTTGTCTCGGTCGCATAGTAAGCTGGGTTTCTTACAATACCATACCCTGCACGATACTCGAACAGCTTGATGTAATAAAGTTACCCCGACTAAATTCCAGCGCGAATTGACGCTTCAGCATTTCTTACGAACCTTTTGATGAAGTTTTCACTTTTCAAAAGTTCGACAGCAGTTTTGCTTTTGTCATCACCTAAAGGACTACAAGGGATAAGCAATTGCGAAATTTGTCGGGCAAAAATAAAATGCAGCGAAGAAACATGCGGTGGAAATGCGATCATGCTGGATATGCAGAGCAATTAAAAAAAAACTAAGTGACGAAAATAAAGAACTCACTTGTTTTCGAATTGGAACATTGTGTTGATAATCAGAACTGTGTCTATCTGCATCACATTTCCACTTTGAAGCCTTTTGCGCAAACTTTACTTTGAGATGTCACTTTTTGGGATTTGTAGGTGGAATTGTCATTATGCTGCGCAGTGTATTAGTTGGATGTTATGATATTAATAAAACCATCCAGCCACGACGGCACTCTTGCTGCTCGATCGACTGTAGAAAGGGTACTCCCAACAACAATAATTCAAAAATGAAACAATGGATACGAGTAATAGGCACAATGTTTAATTGTTGCAACAATCAACAACACATGATTTTACAAGGCATTAATTACAGTTATGAACAGTTATCAATCCAAAAGCACTGCTCAACTTCTATTAGGTACCGGATATCTTAGTGTCGTTTTTTCACCACGAGTTTCGGACCACCAATATTTTAATTCAGAATCCGGGAGTGAAACAGCATATTCATCGAATGACTCATTAGCACTTTCCCATTTACCAGTATGAGTGGAAACCTCGTACGATTAAAGCTAGGAATTTTTTGAGTCGAAAAAGAGAGGTAGGTCGGTTTTGACATCATCTGACAAATCATCCCTCTCACTTGCTAAAAAGTTAGGCCTGGACAAAAGAAGTATACAGTTAGTTAGAGTAGGGTCTGCACTGTATGGTGGAAAATATGGTGGAAAAGTTAAACTTACCAGCTCAACTGGACAATTTTTCCCGGAGTCTTTTTTGCCACATAGGGTCAAAAACGCACCCTTTTTGAGCACACGTGAGTAGCAGATGAGCACATTTATTAGAATTTCTTGTGCAATCAACTTCGTTAAAGCGTTTGTGCATCATCGATCAGTCACTGCTAAGGTGTCCTACCATTTCAGCACAAGACTGGTGCAGCCCCGTCTCGACTGATTTAACTAGGGCCACCTTTTTGACGACGATTGCGGGCATCACTTCAAAGACTTCACTCTTTTGAGAAAACTGAAAAACCGATGAGCATTTTAAATGGTAGTATTCCCTCCACAAATGCAATGTTGGTTTGGTGGGCGGAAGTTGTAGCTCTCAGCAAGAATTTTGAAGCATTTGGTACACACATGCGAATTTGCACACTGGACCCAGGAATTTTCAGAAGAAAAAAAAATAAAAAAAGTTAAATTGTGAACCAACAATAGAAAGCAATAAGCAACATATTTCGCAGTATCAGTGAGCAAAAAGGACTTTCTGAGATACTGATTTTCTATAGTAATCGGCCCCAAAACTTCCTGACACTAAGATATCCGGTACCTAATACTTAACACATTTAATAAAATTAGTTTATACATGCATTCATGATACGAGATCTCTTTAAAAAAAAGTCTACAATTACAAATACAACATTCAAATGAAATCAAAATTGGCATTGTTAGACTCATTTGATTTCATTCCCATGCATATCACATATTTTGATTGCATGGCGTATTGTGGGCGGCGTGTAGCACAGCGGATTAGGGCGCGGTGCAAACGACCTCAGGTCGATGACGCCAGTGCTACTCTCGACTCGAAAAACGCTCATGTCAGCGGGTGGTAAAGGCGACATGGAGAACTTCAGTACTGGAGCAGGCGCAGCGAGTACTTCCTTTTCGCCCAGTTGGGCTGGTCCACAATTCGAAGTCGTCTGAATAGCAGCATTTGGACATGAGCTCGACGGGCGACACCTGAACCCGGTGTATTGTTTTTATTTTGTTTTGCGCACACACTCACTCAGTTCGTCCACCAGCTTTTTTTAAAGAATTTGTGTGTTCTCGTAGCATGCAATGGAAAATTTGATGCGCACACCAAAACGCCGGCTTCTTTAGCAATTTCGCGACACACCTGAAAACCCTTGAAATTAAGCGCATGTCGTGGGAAGTTTCAGGTGAGGAGGCAATCATGGACTTCAGGCTTTGGAGCTAAAAGGACAAAAGGATAAAGCATTTGCCGTTGATCAATCCCTTTTTGGGATGCGGCACGCATTCTACTTCCATTTGTACATTCGTAGTGGCGTTTGAATGCGATGTGGCCTATACAATGACTTGCGGGGGCCAGCCGATGTACAAGTCAGTGTTTTTATCCTCCCAGACAAGTCTGGTACCAATTAACCGACCCCGGAGGGATGGAAGGCTTGGTTGGCCCGGGCGACTCACGACCCAGGATTTGATCCCCGGACCGCTCGCGTGGTAAGCGCCCTTTGGGAAAAGAAGAGAAAAATAGTTTATGTTAACTAGCAAAAAAAGGACACATTCTAGATGTAGACATGTGCCAAAAACCAGACAAAACATAAGCGAGCTATTTCTAACCGAACCATAGCTTTGATGGACCTGCTCGAGTGTCCGCCAAGCATAACTAGCCAAAACTTCTCAATGAAGCGAGACATTACGATGAGTGCGTCTGCAAACATGGAAGTACATGCCCAGTTGAAGAAGCAGTCAGGGGTCTAAGGAAGCGATATGGGGCCTTTTCATGGTCAAAAGGCCTGTTAGTTATGCGCCTTGGGGCTGCCAATCCTCCCTGAGCTCCGCCCTATAGTGTGGCTCACTCTCCATTACTCCTCATATTAGAATGAGGCATCCCACTACGAGTGTGCATACTATAACTTCCCCATGGAATGCGTCACTACACTTTGGAGCCCATGCAGCCCATATGTGGGCTGCAGTCCTCGACCGCGTAGGACCTTTCAGCCCACATTTCGAAACAAATATTAAGTTTTTCTTTCGTTTTCTTTTCCATTTCATTCGATAAGGTTTCTTCTGCGTCATACAGTAGGTTTTTCTTTCCAATTTGCTTAATAAGTTTCCTAAAAATTCTCACTGAAGTCCCACGCGGCCGCAAAACGTAAAACATGCGCGGTCTTCAACGTGTTAATCAAAGCACGATCTTTGCTGGAATGATAGCGGCTATCGGTTAACATGTGCGACCTCTTAGTTGGTTGCTAGCTCGTCCATTATCGGAGGTCAACGGGCAAAGAAAGGGGTCCCATTTTGCGCGTTTTGACGGATTTCTTTGCTTTTTTCGCCACTGGGGCATTATTCAGCATCCCACTTCCACTATGAACCCAACCCAATCTTATCGTAATCCCTCGCTTGCACAAGCGGTACTTCTGAATCTGATAAACAAATGGAAAATATGAAATGGATTATGCTTAGGCTATACAACTCCTATGAACTGAAAATGCATTACAAAAAAAGATATTCCACGGAATTGAGGCAAATTTACCTACATTATTTGATTTACTCCTTTATATTGAACCCATTTTTGTCAGAAGATGTCTATATGTACTGAGGTGTTTTCGAAGCATCACTGACAAGCGGAAGTACAGTTGCGCATTTTGAACTGACTGAAAACTCACGATTCGCGAGACAGTTTCATCAACTCCAGCGTTGTTGCTGAATCCATAGACGCACTTGTGGGAATGAGCTCGCCAAATCGAAGCCTGAGAGTGTAAATTCGAAAATGTAATATTTATAAAAAATTGTGTAATGATACACCACGGTAAAGCATCAGATGGAGTAAAAGTTCTCACCTTGATAAGAACGTGACAATCTCAGTACGTGAGGAATGATCGGAGAATGGAATGGAAACCAACTTTTCCTTCACTATTCTGAAAACAACTGCTGTATAACTCGAGCTTATTCTATTAATTTTGAAATGTGGCATGGCCTGGAGAAATTCAGAAAAAAGTGGATGATTTAAATGGGCAAGAACTTACCCTTTATAATCGTCCCTAACGGAGAGATCAACGACGACTTTCGGGCTGGGCATCTTTTTCAACGTGTTCAGCACCTGCCTTAACAATGCTTTTCCTTATAAAGAAGGAAGTGGAGACTACGTTAACATACTTTGGATGCCTTTGGGACGTACGTATCCGTGCAGTGCTATCATCTTCCTCGCTGAACTCGCCACCTTTCAGTCCACAAGCCTTCCTCACACTAAGACGTTGACTGCTAGTTGATATGACTTCCTAAAGCAATATCTCGCAGTCAAAAAAGGTTTTCAACAATTTCTAAGCCATTAACGCCATTGTGTAGTAACTACTCCAATATCGCTGTTCGCTACAGGCACCATTTCACTCTGTGCAGTTTGCGAAGCGCTACAGGAAAAGTTTTTGTTCAACGCGACAACGCGCCACAAAGCCATCAGAAAGAGAGACCAGTTGAAATATTTAACAAAAGCGACAGAGGTATAAGTATTAGGTTGAGCAAAAATTATCCGCCGGTTTTTCTTTTAGGCTCATGGATCTTTGATTTTTTGCTGATTATTTTCGAAGATTATGAACAGTCTGAAAGCGCGCAATCTCTTGTACATTTTGATGTACAAAACTTGGATACTTGATTCACTCTGGAGCTCCAACGCAAGCAAAAAAGATTAAAGGATAAAGGATAAAGCATTTGCCGTTGATCAATCCCTTTTTGGGATGCGGCACGCATTCTACTTCCATTTGTACATTCGTAGTGGCGTTTGAATGCGGGGCCAGCCGATGTACAAGTCAGTGTTTTTATCCTCCCAGACAAGTCTGGTACCAATTAACCGACCCCGGAGGGATGGAAGGCTTGGTTGGCCCGGGCGACTCACGACCCAGGATTTGATCCCGGACCGCTCGCGTGGTAAGCGTGCCACTTGCCACTACACCACTTCCGCCCTAAAAAAAACTGTTCATAGTATTGGGTGCAAGTTGAGCTCGAAACCGAATGCTTCTGCATCTGCTCGTAGAATCAATGAAGCCTGGGATGAAGGCACGGTTGCAGAGAGGACTGTTCGAGAGCGTTTGTTGATTACGCATTTGTTGTTTTTGTTTGGTTTTGTTAATAAACTTATGAGTGAAATGAAAACGGCGGATAATTTCTGCTCAATCTAATAATTGACCAGTGGCGAACAACAAAAAATGGAGTATTCATAACCTAAGAAGATAAAAATTGATCGGACTGAAATGCAGAAAGAGGGACGCTTTGTCTGACAGTAATTGCGGAACCCAAAATTGCAAAACGATTCTGCCAAGGAAGTTACGAGCAGTCGAAGTTGGCTGCAAATGAGTGCTTTTGGATGAGGCTCGCTAGTGTTAGAGAAACTGTGTTGCCGTGGTGTAGTGGTAAGGCTCTCGCTCATCATCATGCAGGTCATGGGTTCGGTTCCCGCTGCTGACGCGTTTTTGCAAATCATGTTTCATACCCATTAGAGACTTCTATTCTAGTTTTTAACTTATCCGAGCGAGCACCTTGTCAGAACGTGAAGACCGAGTGACAGATATAGTTGTCGCTATGTTCCTGATGAATATCTTCATTGATAATGGTGTATTCTCCCGCGAAGGTAGTTTGGATACTTTTCGCAAAATTCGGAGCAAGAAGATAATAGTCCTGCAACATGCAAAAAGAGAAAGATTGCTGCAAGGTCCGCTTTTATACTTCGTGCATCGCTGGATCGATATTGTAAAGGGGAAAGATTGGAATCGGATGCCCCAAACGAATCGGAGTGGGATTATTGCAATAACGAGGATGAAGACAGCTCGGGCAAGGCAAGGCAGACAAGCCGTGGAGTGGTAGAGGTATCAAATTAGCTCTGTTCTTTTAACTGAACGCTGGGTGTAGAAGAAAGTGCGCACGAAGTTACTTCATCTCAAATCACACAACAAACGTCAATGGTATTAGCATAGCTGTGATTAGGTGCTTATTCAAATAAATGTCAGAAACGAGAATAGAACTCTCTACTGGGTACGGAAACATGATTTGCAAAAACGTCAACCGCAGCGGGAACCGAACCCATGACCTGCATGATGATGAGCGAGAGCCTTACCACTACACCACGGCAACACAGTTTCTCTGACACTAGCGAGCCTCATCCAAAAGCACTCATTTGCAGCCAACTTCGACTGCTCGTAACTTCCTTGGCAGAATCGTTTTGCAATTTTGGGTTCCGCAGTTCTAACCAGTGTCCCAGGCTCTATCGATATGTCTAGGTCTCGGCTCAAAGTTCCACGGGGAGTTCAATGCCTTCCCTGGTAAGTGTCGCATTATCGGATTGCTGAACGACTTTCCTTCTATTTTTTCACTATATTTCCTTTTGCAGGACCGCGCAACACTATAGCAAGGCATGAGGAAGGCAGCACCTCTCAACTTAGAACATTTAATCCTTCGACGAAAGCACATTACAGATCTCGCTTCCATTGGCTTTTTTAGTTCATGGAACTACTTGAAAACTTGAACTTAGACATGGTGGGGCCTTAGTACGATGGCAAGAACTGCAGCAAACGCGTTCACTGGAGAATGAGCAGAGCTCATGACTACACTATCAGATTGTCGTTTGCATATAATTCTATGGTTTTGTGGCCTTATTGTCTTAATTTGGATCACGCTTCCACTTAACCGCAGATGAATCAAGATTCCAGTTGCGCTACCGAGTGGACTCTTTCGAGCTCAGCTGTATCGAGATTCATCGCCAAACTGCCACACAACTTTCAACTGCGATTCGACAGTGCCAGGATAAACGATGCGAAGAGTTCTGTACAGGGAGCTTGGAATACAAACTTATAAATATCATAAGCAACCTCCCCCGTATAGGAAGAGGAAAAGCCGTGTAAAAACTGTCAAATCCTCCTGGCGTGGGCCACGGCTGGCCCCGATATACACCGACGAGGAAGTCTTTTATTGATGTTTATGTTATCATTCGAGAGGATTCAAAAAGATTACTGGGTTTTTGAACTAAACTGGCAGAGCACGAACTACGCAAATCAAATATAACCCTTCAGCACAGCGAGGAATGAACTGAGTAGCCGCGACTTCTTCCTCCTAGTTGGTTTCCGCCTATGGAGGAGTGAAATCTGATAAGGGCCTTTCAGGGAAACCGCGCTTTTTTAAAACGGTTTCTTGCATATTGTAGGGACGCATGTATGGACCACAAAACCATGTTTCGTTTTCGCTGAACGGTTTTAGTAGTATCAAAAAGTGGTGAAAATACTGTTAATGGTTCGATCCCCGTGGCGACTAAATTTTGCATTCAAGGTTGGCGGCCACTTGTTGGCTTCAAAATGGTCCTGACGATGAATATGACATCTGATTTTGACATTTAGCGCGATTTGGCACCAACCCGTAGGCGCCAACCCAAATGCAAAATTTAGTCGCCACGGGGATCGAACCAGCAACAGTGTCATGCTCTACGTACCTTAAACCGTTCAGCGAAAACGAAACATGGTTTTGTGGTCCATACATGCGTCCCTACAATATGCAAGAAACCGTTTTGAAAAAGCGCGGTTTGCCCTGAAAGACCCCTTGCGAGCCAAATTCTATCCAATTTTTTGACTTGTTTTTTGATTGTTAACTGCTGTTTTTGGCCGCAGTTCGCCTTGCGAATGTTTCACAAGAATGCTGGGTTGTGAACAAAACTTTCGCCCCAGGCGGGACTCGAACCCGCACCTCTTGCTTTACCGGGCAAGTGCGCTACAGTTACGCTACCGGGACACCGTTTCATTTATTCAAGATATAATTTTGAAAAAAAAAGTTTCTGGGCCGAGGCCATTTTCACTGATCGTGGCGAGTGGATTCACTAGCAAGGATGTTTGCAGGCTCAAGGAATTATAAATTTTTGCGAAAGTCTGCTATAGTGCCCAGGCCTGATTTTAGGCCATACAAAGATTGGGCCAGCCAACACTTTCGACTTGCATGTAGCAGATGATTTAATGTATTAAACACTGAAGCCGAAGAGTCACAGGAAACCACATAGTTCAAAAGGATAGCCGAAATTTGCTCTTCATAAAGTATGAGATGAAATTCTAAGATGTCATGCGGATAAGGGTTGATTTCTGTAATGACGCACTATAGAGTTAAGAAATGTTGTAGCATTGTTGAAAGGGAAATTCTCATACGTTGCTATAGTTGTTATCACGTTAACGTGCCTGGTTTCGATGGGCCACAATATTCATGCCCTAAGCTGTCTGAATACTTACCATAGAGCAACTCAAAATTGAAGACAAAAATGTAACCGCTCTTTGTGGGGGGAGGGGGTGACGGAAGACTCTTAACATACCGAAAACGTTTGACTGAGCCTCTCGAGTATTTCCTCTCGTCCAAGTTTGAACACCGGTATCAATATGGAGCACTCGTGAAGTTTCTCCATTTCTGCCATCAATCTTAAATTAATAGTAGAAACTCTCTCAATTGATTTAAAAGTATAATAAAAGTAGATAAAAATAGCAAGTGGTCAAAAAACAGAACATATCTAACATCTTCTCAGCTTCCATTCTGTTTGGAAAAGATTGGTTGCTGTGATCCAAGTGAGTGTTATCGAGGTAAATCTTGGATATATACGTCTGAACATTGTAAAATAAAGTAAAATAAAATGAGATCAGCTCCAATGCGAAAAACTCACGTTAGCGAGCTTCACAAATGAAGGGTCGTTATTAAAACGAGAAATCAAGCGGTCATCCGCCCGAAAGTCTCCCGTGCAAAGTATGGCCCCACCCGGAATGGACGCACCTAAAAGCATAGGATTA